TAATTATGTCCCCACTGGATGCAACAAATGCCTCGTTTATAATGGGTTTTAATGTTTTTGTCTCGTCGCTCCGGCCGGGTCATGGCATCACAGTATGGTAAAGGGCGTAACGCGCTTGAGGTATTCGGCCAATCACAACGCACTGGATAGCTGGCCAATCACAGCACACCTCGCTTTTCAGACCGATGAGCTTTGTAAAAATCGACGCGTTTCAGAAAGGCGGGGCATAGAGGAGAAACAGTAATGTACAGTATGTGGAAAATAATGTGTTTTTTTAACCTTAAACCGCATAAACACATTTCATTATACCAAATACACAAAATAATGTTCTTTTTAGCAACATCATATGACCCCTTTAACTAATGATCCATTAAGCATTATACAATGTTTGTTAATGATTTGTTAATGAAAGTTATTATGAAGTGTTACCGATTAAAGTCATATTTTAAGAATAAAGTCAAAATTATGAGAATAAGTTGTAGCAATACAAGATTAAAGTTGTAATATTTTGAGAATAAAGTCGTAGTATTTTGAGTGAAGTCGCAGCAATAGAAGATTAATCGTTGTAATATTTTTAGAATATAGTCGTTTATTGCATGAATAGGGTCAATTACCACTACCTACTCCACAAAAGCATCTAGACTTTCATTATTCACATGTATTTAACTTTTAAAACAGCAATAAAAACATTGTGTCTACAAATTGTGAATGGACTTGAAGACATGAAATATTATTTCCAATCATTTTTACCAGTGGTCGGCAACAGGCGGCCCGAGGGCCAAAACTGGACCGCCAGCAATAATATCTGCAGCCAGATTATTTTGATAGTGGCTGGTTCTGAAATAGATCTGTCATGACAGCAACAGTTACTCATAATCAGAGGATGTGAGCGGAGCGTGGAGTGGAGCGGTGTGATTTTGACTGGAGCAAGGAGCGGATTTTTTAAAGGTCGGAGCATCGTGGTTTTCACTCACTCCAAGATGGCCCGTGCCCGCAGCCAGATTATTTTGATAGCGGCTGGTTTTGAAATAGATCTGTCATGACAGCAACAGTTACTCATAATCAGAGTATGTGAGCGGAGCGCGGAGTGGAGCGGTGTGATTTTGACTTAATCAGAGTATGTGAGCGGAGCGTGGAGTGGAGCGGTGTGATTTTGACTGGAGCAAGGAGCGGATTTTTTAAAGGTCGGAGCATCGTGGTTTTCACTCACTCCAAGAGCGTTCCACCACCGCTCCATCATGAGTACAATTCATGCCAATGGCCCGAAAATGTGAAAATATGTGAATTCTTGCATATTTAGCAAGAATTCACATGTTAAACATATTTAGCTAGCTTGATAGAGAAGGATCACTCAAATCAGAAAGAATGTGAAGCTATGATGACAGCAATGGACATGAGTGGGAAGTTGTAGTTCTCAAGGAATTTGTTCCTTCTAGATACTGAATATTTTCAGCTGAAAGCATGATTTAAACAAGTATTAAGTACAAGTACTTATTCACACGCAATCGCTCTCTCAATGATGCATTCAAACAAATGTATCTGTATCCGATTTCGAATGAGCAGAAATCTGTTAGAAATGCATCGATCCGTAGGTAAAACTGACAAAAACGTAGTTATTTTCATCACAAACAAAATTTGCACCGCAAAAAGCAGCAATTATACCTTTTAATGCTGACAACCATGTTATTAGACAAGTACTATAACACGCAATCGCTCTCTTAATAATACATTCAAACAAATGTAATCTTACAGTGCTACATCTGTATCCGATTTCGAATGAGCAGAAATCTGTAAGAAATGCATCGATCCGTATGTAAAATATCTGATGTAAACGTACTGTTATTTTCATCACAAACAAAATTTGCACCGCAAAAAGCAGCAATTATACCTTTTAATGCTGACAACCATATTATTAGCTTGTCATATGGTAGGACAAAAGTTTGAACACTAGTGTTCTAATAAGCCACTTTGAAACTCTGCTGTTATTTTGAACTGTGATATTTCATACATACTGAAATACTTTAGCCGCAGAGTGGTGTTTCTGCGAGGAGCGGAGCGGGAGCGGGAAATGGTGAACCCGGAGCAGAGTGATTATTAAATGCTCGATACGCGAAGGGGAAATTGTTGATGCTCCACTCCGCTCACATACTCTGCCAGACACCACAACACAAATGTGTCTTTTTGTTAATGACTGTCCTCCTACAGGATTTAACACAGAGTAACAGCTCACTACCACTTACAAAAGACACTGTAACAGTCTGCCACAGGCAATTCTAGTTGCATTTTCATCAATTAATTTCTTAAATGATCCTTTGACTATTTTCTGGCCTGCCATCTAGTGGCAAAAAATTTTTTGGCCCAATGCCAAACTTGCTTGCCGACCCCTGATTTATACCATCCATAAATCAGCTTGTGAATTGTCACGTAATGACATTTACCTCAGAAAAAGACAACATAATTTAAGTTAACAAGTTGGAGTCCACTTCAACCTTTAGAATGTTTGTATTGCTGTTGTTAATTATGTTAAATACATGTGAAGAATAAAAGGTTGGACACCACAGATATGTTTTTGCAGAGTGGTGGAATTTTCAAATTAATTAACCTTATTCACACAATATACTAAGTCAAGTCAAGTCATGTCATGTTTACACACAAGGAATTTGACTTGGCGACGGGAGCTTCCAGTGCAGAAGTACACACATAGTGCAAACATACATGATAGTGCAGACATACATAGAATTACACAGTAAAGATGAAATAATAAGAAAAACAGAAAAATAAATAATGTTCACGTGGCCTTCTAACTTTTTAAACTCTAAAACCTTTTTAAAACTATGTTTTGTTGAACTGAAACTGCAGCCAAGTAATGGAACCTTTTCACATTTCAGGGTTTCTCAGAAGCGGAAGTCATCATCAAGCAGTAATCGAAGATGGCGCCGATGCTGATGGCTGCCTCCGTGGCGTGCTCCGCAGTCCCCACTCTGCACATTTTGTATGTCTACCTTATCTGACACATTCAGTTCAGTTTATGGAGCTCTCTTCTAATGACCTGATTATCTCAGTAAGGTGTGTTAAATAAGGGGGGTCCCAAGGGCCAGGATTAAGAACCACTGTTCAAGAATTATGATTCAAAAAGTACATTGCCTGGTTATGTACTGACAAACTACTAGTGTTAGAAAAATTCGCATCTTGATCATTCAAGAGAAAAAATATTGCCTAAGGGGCCGTTCACATGTCACACCTAAAAACGCGTGGAAAACGCAAGCTGTGGCGCTTTCTACTTTCCAAAGTGCTCGAGAGCGCTGCCGTTGCTAAGCAGCCGTGACCTGCGCTCACCATGACGACGTGGAAGTTTCAGCAAAGGATAAATGGATTCCAGCACTGAAAATCGCTTACAGTAGCTCTGCTACTAATTTTATAGTAAATATATTTAAAAATTGGTATCCCTGTACAGCTACATCCCTGTAAAGCGGCATTCTGAAAAGTTGAGATGTTTTTACAGAGATTGTTTTACTATTGGGAGATGAGAGGGTCTGTATTACCAAAGTCCCTTTAAGGCAAGTCATGTCACTCAAGCGAGTATAGTGTTAACTATGGCTACTCACAAATCAGGCAACCAACTGGACCTTATTTACACACGACACTGCTCCACTGATCATGTGCTGGTTACTCCACTGCACACATCGGATCACTTCCTCCTCACTCTTAACCTCAAAATGGTTCCTGACATACCCCTCCACATGTCACTTTTCAACGTAACCTACGCTCACTCTCAGCCTCCCGGCTATCTACTATGGTTTCATCTTCGCTTCCTCGCCCTGAACAGTTATCATCTCTTGATGTTAACAGTGCTACTGATACTTTCTGCTCCACTCTTACGTCTTGTTTAGACACCGTCTGCCCCTTGTCTTCCAGGCCAGCTCGTACCACCTCTTCTGCCAATTTTCTATCTGATGTTCTCCGTGAGTATCGTTCTAAGCTCAGAGCTGCAGAAAGAGTATGGCGCAAATCACAAAATCCTACTGACCTTAAAGGGTTAGTTCACCCAAAAATTTAAATTAGCCTGTGTTTTACTCACCCTAAAAACATCCTAGGTGTATGTAACTTTCTTTTTTCAGACGAATCCAATTGGAGATGTATTAAAAATTGTCCTGGCCCCTCCAAGCCTTTCAATGGGGGTAAGCAGGTGTTGGTTGTCAACAGTTCAGAAGACGTGAAATAAAGTGTGTGCATCCGTATTAAAACGTCCCTCACACGGCTCCGGGGGGTGAATAAAGGCCTTCTGTAGCGAATCGATGCATTTTTGAAAGATAAATATCCATATTTCAAACATAATAAACACTTTTTTCCTCACTTCCGCTGACTGTGGTACGCGGAAGACATTCAGGCGGATGACGTAGGACATGATGGTCGTGCACACGCCTCTGAGAAATGCAGGAGCAAAGGAAACAAAGTTTCCTTTAGCAAAGGAAAACCAGTCTCCTCTTGGCTTATATCCTCCGAAATTTTTCTTTACAAATCCTTGTTTTGTGCTTCTAATTCATGAGCGGCGTGTTGTTTTGTCTCCGCGTTCGTCACTTATCACGCAACGTCAACGTCCTACGTCATCCGCCGGAATGGCTTCAGTGTATGACAGTCAGCGGAAGTGACAAAAAAGGTGTTTATTATGTTTGCAATATGGATATTTATCTTACAAAAATGCATGGATTCACTACAGAAGGCCTTTATTTACCCCCCGGAGCCATGTGAGGGACGTTTTATTATGGATGCACGCACTTTATTTCACGTCTTCTGAACTGTTGACAACCAACACCCGCTTACCCCCATTGAAAGGCTTGGAGGGGACAGGACAATTTTTAATATAACTCCGATTGGATTCATCTGAAAGAAGAAAGTCACATACACCTAGGATGCTTTGAGTAAAACACAGGCTAATTTTCATTTTTGGGTGAACTAACCCTTTAATATCTATCAATCACTCCTCTCTTCATTCTCTGCTAATGTCTCCACTGCTAAAAGGACATACTATCACAACAAAATTAGAAATTCTCCTAACTCTCGCATGCTCTTTAAAACATTTTCCTCCCTCCTTTGTCCTCCTCCCCTCGCGCGGAGACCATACAGCGTAGAGGCGCGTCCCCTGGGTGGTGGATAGGGGATCCCTCGTGTGGGGGTACACGAATAATATGGAATAAGGTGTCGTGAACCAACATGGTCTAAGGGAAGGAACCCTGACAAAAACCCACTGGTCCGCCTAGTAAAGGGGTTGGGCAGCAGGCTAACAACCTTCTCCCATCAAAAATGATTATTACAGATACCATGGACATTACAGATAGAAGTAACCAGGGTGAAGCTAAGATGGCCAGTGATGGCAGCAAGACGGCGTGGGGTCAAAGCCTTCGGGAAGCTCAACATCCGATGACATCTATAGTAACACCCAAACAAGAACTCTCCATCGGACACTGGAATGTCAGGAGTATGTACAGAGCGGGGGCAGCTGCACAGATCGCCAGAGAGATGGATCAGTACAAGTTGGACCTGCTTGGGATCAGCGAGTGCAGATGGACAGAAGCAGGCAGACAGAAGCTGGCAACAGGACAAACAGTGCTATATGCAGGAGATGAGGAGCTGCATAAAGGTGGAGTTGCCATACTAGTCAGTAAACAAGCAGGGAAGGCACTAATAAAGTGGACACCTGTCAGCAGTAGGATAATCACAGCAAGATTTTATTCTCGATTCAGGAGACTGACTATAATCCAGGCGTATACCACACTCAATGAGCGAGCTGATGAGGAGAAAGAACAGTTCTACGAGATGCTGCAGCAGACTGTAGACCAATGCAACAGGCAAGACATAATCATTATTATGGGGGACTTGAATGCCAAGGTTGGCCAAGATAACAACGGATATGAAAGTATAATGGGCACTCAAGGGCTTGGAGTTAGAAATGACAACGGTGAGAGGGTGTGTGAATTCTGCGAGATCAATGGTCTCATCATAACTGGCACATTATTCGCGCACAAGAACATTCACAAAGCAACATGGGTATCAGCAGATGGAACGGTGAAGAACCAGATCGACCACCTTATGATCAGCGGGCAGTGGAGGTGCTGATGTGAACAGTGACCATTATTTGGTGAAAACGAGAATCAGGCTGCGACTCAGCACAAACAGGAACTAGAAGAATGCCAAACCAAGACTGGATGTTGAGCGACTGAAGGATGAGGAAACCAGGAA